CGCCACAATCGACTGAAAGCTTGGACAGTTGTAGAATTCATGAATCCCAAACTGCTATTGACCTTCTATCTAGTAACCTTGGCTCAAATTATTATAATATAAATAGCGCCTAATTGCTTAAGGGGTTTAGTCGGATACGGACGCGTCCAAGCTAGGTTTATGTGCACATCTTTCCACAATTACACACTGTTATTCCACTCCGTCGTTTCCTTCATTCCTTCATGCAAGATCGATTGCCCCTTTTTCCCCACCCCTTCCTTCTCCGCGTAGTTTCCCGTCCATCCTCCCCTGTTTTTCCACCGATTGCTTTTCTGATTATTTCGACGTTTCCATATCATCAAGTTGGGCAGAGAATCACAGACAAGAAAAAGTAAGTGATTGGAAATCCTACCGAAAGAGGTGAATCGAGAACAGAGTAGCAATCAGAGAAGAGAAGGCAGTCAGATGGAAGAAACCGACGGCCGCCATGGGCTTCCATTCCATGCCAGTTACCAAAAAAGTTTCCTTCACTAATCGTTATCGTTCCTTCTAAGCCGCATGAACCCGCAGACTATATAGCGGATTGACATGAGACAATTAAGGTCGATGCCGACATCGGATTCCGGTGCATTTTTTACTCCCAACTTTCACCACTTTGCCGATTTATTAAACCTGCCTCTATCCATCTATTTGATAGTTGGAGAAACATTATTATTTAGATGTTTCCCCCAAGCTCTAATTAGTACTGTGGATCGACTTCCTTTCCCATTTGCATGAGTTCCACGTAGCATCGAGGGTATGCCGCCTATCCTCCACTGACATGATGTACAATAATTAGTTTTCTCACATTGATTTCAGATTTCATTGTTTCGCTTAAGGAAATGGTTTGGTGGCGTCTAAAAGCCACATCATCTAATGCATTCATTTTTGTTGAATCGCGCCGGTGCTTATTATCAAATAAGAGTGTTGGTTATTCATGTAAATGGAAATTCATACATTTATTTATGATATTTGTATTAACCATATTTTATGGAATTAAATTTAAATTATAAAATTTTCTATAAAAATTAGTTGTATTATCATAATCTACACAATAACATCCATTTTGATATATTTCAAAGTTTAAAAATTAATTTTATAATAATGTGAATAAAAAAAATTTGATTTTATAATAATGTGAATAAATAAAAATATGTGTGTATAGACACTAGATTTTATGAATAAATATGATTGATTGTGTGAATAACCAACTAATATGACGTGATTAAGCACTAATTTACGCAAATAAACGCAAAAATATGTAAATTAGGTGTCGTGGCTTTTAAGTGACACCAAACCTTCTCCTTGGTTTAATTGCAGGTGTTCGGGTCAGATTCTGTGCTTAAGCCTATAAGTTTAAGCATATGCTTAAAGCTCTCCTATTGGTCAATAGGAATTTAGTTAGTTAAAGGAAGGTAAGTGGTTAATAAGTTATTAAGGGTAAATACGGTATTATGGAAATATAATTAATATTAATAGTTAATAAAAAAATGAGTTAAAATCCTAATCCATTTTCACCGTAACTCTAATCCAAAAGAGAACAACGTCGATTCCTCGCCGGCAACCGCTCAACCCCTCTCTCTCCTTGCGAAATATTTTAGGAGACGCCGCCGCTGAGAAAGAACTCTACGACAGCAGCGCCATCCCGCTATACGAGCCTCCACCATCCCTCTGAGATCGACGGGAGCTTCATCGCAACAGCCGCCGTCCCAATCCTACTCAGTCGCAATCCCGAACCCAAGCCAACCACTAGTTTTTTTCATCTTTTCCGCCAATTTGACGTCGTCTCGCTTAATTTTGCCCCTGTCAGGCTGCCACCGCACTCTCCATCGCCATGGAAAGTCGTCTCACTCACGCTTTCAAAACGTGAATAATGATGGTGCATAACATTGATAATTCTTTCATAAGCGTAGATAACGGTAACAAAATCGATAATATACTTTCTCAATACGTTAATAAACTTGACTTGAAGATGTGAAAAAGCTAATAATAATTCTTGCTATTATTGATAGTAGTTGAGGCCTGAAATTAAGATGTATGTTTAAAAAAGTTGATAATGGATGATATATTGTTAATGAATGGGAGAAAACATGCTATATGAAAACATTAATAAGTATTCGACATTTTGAAAGTTTATATTGTGACGTAAATTGTTAAAATATATTTTATTATTATTAACGATTTCATCATATTTATCAATACTTTAATATAATATGAGTTTGCATTGAAACGTTGTAATGACACTATTTATTATTCATATTTAAACTGTTGGCATTGAAAGTACAAGCAAAATTATTGATAATGTTTGCATCTAAATGGGTACTACCTGTGGTACATGTTATGAATAACTATCTTCTCGAAATGTAGATAACGATATACAAATTATTTATAGCTTGTGTTTCACTTAAAATGCAACAAAAAATCATTGATACTGATCAAATCTAATGGTCGTCAACCATATTGCGTCTCCATCTCCGACGCACATGAAAGTAAAATCATTGATAATGACTAGAACTAATTGTTAATAATGTTACACCAATTTATTGATAACTCCCTTCGGAAACCTTGATAACGATGATGTCATGAATAACTATCATGTATTTTGTTGATACAACAACCAATAACTTTGATAATGATCGCAATTAAAGGTCATTATACTTTCTAGATATTACTAATACATTATATGTCAAATATTTATAATGACATTAAAAATCGTTAAAACTTATATGTTTTTTTTTTGTTAACACAATCCACTTAAAATTTTAATGGTGTCATTAAAAACAACTTGTATTGCAAAATTGTTGATAACGATAGCATACCTCGGTAATAATAGCCATCGGTTTTATTACTAATTCGAAGAACAAAATTAGATGATGATGTATAAAGCCATAAAAATTAAAAACTACCCTAAAATTTATTGATAGTTCAATGAAAGAGCGTTACTAATATTGTCAGATCTGGATTTTGAATCTCTAATTATGCAACGAATAAAGCATGCAATAAAATTAACAACTATCAAACGATTTATTAATAATTCAACGAAAGCAAGTACCAATCATGCTATGCCAATCCGAAATTTGAAACCCTAACTCGCAAATGCATGAATAATACAAAAGCAATCGATGGACAACACAAAGACAACCGGTGACGCACTACGAGTTCTCTGCCAAACTGGACAACGACAACACAAAGAAAACCGGGACTGATCGTAGACGCTAGATGGACGGACGACGGCCAAAAGCAACGTATATGCTCAGACAATAGAAATCGACAATACTAAGGACGACGAGTTCATCGCCAAACTGAACGACGACGAAGCAAAGAAATCGGGGGTTGGTTGCCGGCGGTAGCTAGTGGACGTCGACGGTAGTTGTACCAACATCCAGAGCAGTGTCCCGGCAGCAACCACAGCCGCGAGACGATCATGTACTCGTCGACAGTGAAGAGTAGGCTATAGATGTGGCTGGAAACGAACGGGCCGGCCAGCAGCCGTCGGAAGCTTGAAGGAGGGAGGGAGAATATAATACGTCGGAAAGAAGAGAGAGTTTGAGGGAGGGAGAAACGAACAGGCAGAAAATAAACCTAAAACCTCCTATTTAGGTTAAGTTTTTAAATAATTAAAATCTCCTAATTGCCCTTAACTTACAAATAACTACTATTAACCATAAACTAATTATTAATTACCTAAATTCCTATCAGCCAATAGGAGAAGTTTAAGCATCTCCTTAAACTTTTGGGCTTAAGCACAGCAACTCAGGCCGTTTAATTGTGCACAAAGTAAAACTTCTCCTTCACCAAAATGAGAGTAGTTAATAAGTTACATAAAAAGACTGCATGGGTAATAGGATCTTTGCTGCTCCCTCAAGGCTTAACTTCAATCTTTTTTGTTAGGCTTTTAGTAATCAGGCTTGGTTCGTTTGGCACTAACGTAAACAATATATAGGTTTTATTTGCACATGATACTGGAAGAATTACTTCAATTGTTAATCGGTCTATTTAAGTAAAGAAATTATTGACATTAAGAGAGATTAGGCTTAGAATTTGATGTGATATGAGATGCTTATGCATGTTGGCTCTACTACGTACATTTATGTTATGATACATTATGAAGTTGTACCATAAAGTAAAAATAAAAATTCTTTTATGGTACAACTTCAAAGTCTACCTTTAACATTATGATACAAATTCTCCAATGATTACAATCATTAGCATAGCCAGAAAATTATTTAATTGGGGTCGAAGAAGTACATAGAATCAGAGAACTCTTTGAACACAACTCAATATATAGTGTAATGGTGGAGTTGTTGTCTCAATATATAGTGTACCTATAATCTTTTGTATAAATCTTTTTACTATACAAATTAGAGTTGTACCTTTATGTTATGATATCATTGGAAGTTGTACCATATCATCAAGACACAATTTCCCTTATGGTACAACTTCAATTTGTACTTTTAACGTAATGATACAACTATGATAGATTTTCAAGTTGAACTTTAAAGCAACAATGCTTTAGTACAACTTCAGTTTGTTCGTTGTTTAAGTTTAAAGGTCATTACATATAAAAGCTTATCATTAGCTTCGGTTCAAGTTTAACGACCAACAATGTTTGATTTCATTATTATTGATTTTGTAATGTGTGTCCAAAAGTTTGAAAAAATTATTCTTTCAAAAACTATATTCGTATTCTAAAAGTTAATGATTCTTCAAACTTTTATTTCCTCTAATAACATTCACCTTCATTTAAAACAAAACTGTTCTTTATTTCTAATTAGCATATACATTTTAGATAAACCGCTGCGGAGCACGGGCCAATTATCTAGTTAATAAATCAATTGTGGTTTGTAGGATTTAGTTTCGGATTTCACTAACCCATAGCGATTTGTGATTTTGAACTGCAACCACGCGGATTTTGTTTCACCCGATGGCGAACCACAAAGCCCTCCGAAAACAGACCGCTTAGATTTGGGGTGGTGTTGTTATACTAACAACAGAATTCATTAAGGGTATAAGGGTAAATTAACTATAAAAATAATAAACAAAAATTGAACTGTTATCACACCGACCCGTCGTACCATCAACTACATCCCCCAAGACACTCCCGCCATCCCCTGCCGCCGCTGCCTTCAGGCCGATGCTGAACGTTAGCTCCGGCCAGACGACGTCGAACGAAGACAACCGACCTGCCGCAACCTCCTTCAGCTGGCTGCCTCCATCGAAGTCATCATACAAGACCGAGGCCTCGACGACGTCGTAGTGTTTGGACATGACGGAGCCGAAGGTGAGGAGCCAGTCGGCCTCGACGAGGAGCGAGCTGACGTTGCTGGAGGAGACGGCGGCGAACGTGAGCTTGACACCTGCGATCCCCGCCACGTAGATCGGTGTCAGGTTCACCGTCACTGCATCCGATATCGGCATCTCTTCCGCCAACAAATAAACCGACCTGGGAATTCAAAATTCGGCGGGGTTTTCCTCCCCGCAATTCGCCGAGATTGGATCGATCGCCGGGAGAAAAAAGGAAGGGTTTTAGCGCGGCGGATTTTGTGGAGGAAATGTTGGCAGTGTGTAACAGTCGGACTTAGTTGTAAGCAGCAGAAGTTTAGGGACTGTCCTGGATATTTGTTCAACGGGTATATAAACCCGCCCTGTAACGGCCTAACGGCTAACTTGGAATAACACAACAACTTTTCCCTCTCTCACTTCTCTCTCTATCTCTCTCTCTCTGTTACTTTACTCTTTCTTCTTCTCGCCAAGACTTTTTCGATCCTAGACATCACAAATTGGTATCAGAGCCAGTCTTGGCCATGGCGACGACGGTTCGGCAGCTAGACGATCGCCTGAATTCGTTTTCTTCGCGTACTCTGGAGGTTGAAAATGCCGTCACCGCTCAGATCGCTACTTTGGAGGATCAGAATCGCGCTCAATCCAATCAACTCACTGAGTTGATAGCTCGTTCCGAGGGGCATTCGCAGCAATTTGTGACGATCACGACGCGTCTGGATGGAATGGAAGATCGAGCTGCCACTCGTTTCGCGCAATTTGATCAGCTTCAGCAAAATGTTCAAGAGATTCTTCGCCGGTTGGAGGCGGTTCAGCAATGACCAGAGATCTTCGTCGCCGGTGAGGGAATTCCACAAGGAGGCCGTCAGGAGGATCGAGGTTTACTGCCGTTGCCTAACCCTCGGTTCCGTCTTCCAGATCCGCATTTCCAGTTGAATCGAGGACCTCCTCCGCAGGTCCGTAAAGTAGAGCAGGAACAGAACAATGTTCCACCGCGAGGTAATGGCCAGATTCAGTTGCCGCGATTGGAATTTCCTATGTTTGGGGGTGATAACCCTAGGGATTGGACTCGCAAATGCGAGAAGTTGTTTGACATCTATCAGATTCCTAATGAGCAGAAGGTACGATTGGCGTCGATTTACTTTGAGCGACGTCCAGACGTATGGTTTGAAGGATGGAAGTTTGATAGGCAGAACTGGAATTGGGAGGAATTTGTGGTAGATCTGTGTCACAGGTTTGGTGATCGTGAATATGGGGGTATCGTGGGAGAATTTAATAAACTGAGGTAGAGGGGATCACTGGTTGAGTATCAAGAGCGATTCGAAGAGCTGAAATCCCAGATGATTAGGTATAATCCTGCCTTGGGTGAGCAATACTTCATATCCAGCTTCGTGAATGGGTTGGAAGAGGAACTTCGTCCAGTGATTAAGATGTGGCAACCTCAGACCTTGGCCCATGCTTTTCAGCTGGCTCAGCTGGAGGAAGCTTCGAACGAAGCAAGAAGGAAGAAATGGAGGTTTGGTTCTAGTAGTAACACACGCCCATCATTTCCATCATTTGGTGCAGGACCGTCTCAGCAGTCTCAAGGAGTTAAGAGGGAAGGAGCTGGGGGTCGATCTGGTACCAACAACAGTGGCAGTAAGAGTTCTCAGCAGGTGTCCAATGGAAGAAATAATTTTGCCAAGGGTGCCTGTTACAAATGCGGAGATAAGTATTATTTTGGACATGTGCGCGATGCAAGAAAACAATTGAATGCATTGCAGGCTGAGGATGAAGAGGTATTAGCTCCTGAAGATTGGAGTGTGCTGGACGAGGATGACATGGGAGATTTGGTGAATGATCAGCAGCAGTCTGAAGTAGTGGAAGTATCAATGCAAGCTTTAAGTAGTGGGGGTCTTTCCAATTCTTTGATTGTCCGTGGACAAGTTAAGAAGGAAAAGGTCTTTATACTGATTGACACAGGTAGCACACATACCTTTCTGAGTGAGAGGAAGGCTGTGGAACTGAAATGTAAAGTGGAACAAGCTGCTACTCCTTTGCGAGTGAAGCTGGCAGATGGAACAATATTGTTGAGTAGTATGGTATGCAAGGATTTCTGTTGGGAAATGCAGGATCAACAGTTTGTGTTTGATATGAGAATATTGAATTTGGGAACCAATGATGTGGTGTTGGGGTTGGATTGGTTGAAGACAATCAGTCCAGTCAAATTTGATTTCATTAACCTGCAACTATTTTTCGACTGGAAAGGGGAGGAAGTGGTGTTACAAGGGATGCAGGACATTGCTCAATGCAAAGCAATGTCGGGTAAGAGTTTGCAGAAGCTGCTAAAGAAGACCAAGGATACTTTGGTAGGTCACTTGTTCAGCATTTCTGTGGAGATGGCTAATCCAGGAAAGGTACCTGAATTCCTGGTACCAGTAGACAGTGAATTCAAGGATGTATTTGGTAAACCTACAGGACTGCCACCTGCAAGACCTTGTGACCACTCTATTCCATTACAAGCTAATGCACAGCCAGTGAATTTAAGGCCTTATCGTTACTCCATACCACAGAAGAATGAGATGGACGTTGGTGAAGGAGATTATGGAAGCTCAATACATTCAAACCAGTCACAGTCCCTTTGCATCACCAGTGCTTTTGGTTTTAAAGAAGGATGGTTCGTTGAGATTCTGTGTTGATTACAGACAATTAAATGCACTCACCATTAAGGACAAGTTTCCTATACCTGTGATTGACGATTTGTTGGATGAGCTAAGAGGATCTAAGTATTTCACTAAGCTTGATCTACTATCAGGTTACCATCATATAAGGATGCATCCACCTGATCAGCACAAGACTGCCTTCAGGACACATCAGGGTCACTACGAATTCAGAGTGATGCCCTTTGGCTTGACAAATGCACCAGCTACATTTCAGGCTCTAATGAATCAAATCTTTGCACCTTACCTGAGACAGTTTATTCTAGTCTTCTTTGATGACATCCTGGTGTATAGTCCAGATCAAGAGAGTCACAAGCAGCACTTGACCACTACCTTAAGCATTTTGCGAGCCAACACTCTATTTGCAAAGCCTTCCAAGTGCTCTTTCGGTCAAACACAGGTGGACTACCTAGGCCATATTATCAATCAGGATGGTGTCTCTACTAATCCAGGCAAGATAGAGGTGATGGTTTCTTGGCCAATTCCTAAGAATATCAAGGAGCTTCGTGGGTTTTTGGGATTAACTGGATATTATCGGAAGTTTGTGAGGAATTATAGCCTGCTGGCCAAGCCCTTGACTGATTTGCTGAAAAAGACTGTTTTAAGTGGTCTCCTGCAGCTGAAGGTGCTTTTCAGGTACTGAAGAAGGCAATGGTTCAAGCTCCAGTATTAGCCCTGCCTGATTTCACTCAGCCCTTTGTTTTGGAAACCGACGCCAGTGAAGTGGGAGTTGGAGTAGTGCTATCTCAAGCAGGTAAGCCATTGGCCTATCATAGTCAGGCTTTGGGGCCAAGAAAGCAAGGTCTATCGACCTATGAGAAAGAATACCTAGCTGTTATCCTTGCTGTTACTAAATGGAGACATTATCTAGAGGGTAGGAGGTTCATCATTATCACTGACCATGAAAGTCTTAAACACTTGCTTGGCCAGAAAATTCACACTCAGATACAGAAGAAAGGGCTGGTTAAGTTGCTAGGACTGGATTTTGAGATCCAGTATAGACAAGGCAAGTTCAATAGGGTTGCAGATGCTCTGTCCAGACACCCTCAGTTTTGCAACACCAGCAAATGTCAAGCCATTACAGCAGTTCTTCCTTCATGGTTAGCTGAGATAGAAACCACTTATGAGGGGGATCCAGTGGTTCATGAATTGTTGAGGTCTGCAGCAGTACCAATGATTGGACCTAGGATTTACTCGATTCACATGGGACTGTTATACCATAAAGCAGCCTTAATGGTGGGATCAACTGGTAATATGAGGCAGCAGTTGATGCAATTATTTCATGAATCCCCAATTGGTGGTCGTTCTGGATTGCAGGCCAATTATCAAAGGCTCAAACGGTATTTTTGGTGGCCTGGCATCAAGGGAGATCTAAAGAGGTTCGTCCAAGAATGTGATATATGTCAGAGATGCAAAGTGGAAAATGTGCCTTATCCAGGGTTATTGCAGCCTCTTCCAGTACCAGACCAGGCTTGGAAGCACATCTCTATGGACTTCATAGAGGGGCTGCCAAAATCTCAGGGAAAAGAAGCAGTGTTTGTGGTGGTGGACAGGTTCTCCAAGTACAGCCATTTCTTTTGCTTGTCCAAGCCATATTCAGCAAGTTCAGTTGCTCAGGTGTTCTTTGATGGGGTCTTCAAACTCCATGGTCTTCCTCAGACGATTGTATCTGACAGAGATTCCTTGTTCACGAGTACATTCTGGTCTACTCTCTTTCAGTTGCAAGGAGTCAAGTTGCACTTCTCGACTGCTTACCATCCACAAACAGATGGTCAAACAGAGAGGGTTAATAGGTGCTTGGAGGAGTACTTGAGGGGTATGGTGCATCACAGCCCTCAGAAATGGGCAAGTTGGATTACTTTGGCTGAGTGGTGGTATAATACCAATTATCACAGCAGCTTACAGGGTACCCCATTTGAAGCCTTGTATGGCTACTCTCCTGCTCAGTTGTCCATTTTTAACCCCCTGTCGACTTCAGTGGCCGCAGTGGCAGAAAGACTCCAACAGCAGCAACGATTGATTGGTATACTTCGAGCCAATCTAGCTAAAGCTCAGAATAGGCAGAAGCAGATGGCCGATGCTCACAGGACAGAGAGGTCGTTTGTAGAAGGGGAGCTGGTCTACCTGAAGCTTCGTCCATACCGACAGTCAACGGTGGAAACAAGGGCAAATCAGAAGCTTTCTCCTAAATTCTACGGGCCATTTGAGATTGAGAAGAAGGTGGGGAGTGTCGCCTACAGATTGAAGTTGCCTCCGGGTTCAGCCATACATCCCGTGTTCCATGTCTCTCTTCTAAAAAGGGCAAGGGGAAAAACAGTGACCATACAGCCTACGCTACCAGAGATCGATGCAAATGGAGGGTTGAAGGTGGAGCCTGCAGTCATTCTTGCACGAAGGGTTGTGTCTCGACAGAACAGGGCAGCGACACAGATTTTGGTCCAATGGACGCACCAATCAGAAGAGGATGCCACCTGGGAATTTTTGGACGAGTTCAAGCTGAGGTTTCCGTGGTTCTCAACTTGAGACAAGTTGTTTCTGAAGAAGGGAGGAGTTGTAACAGTCAGACTTAGTTGTAAGCAGCAGAAGTTTAGGGACTGTCTTGGATATTTGTTCAACGGGTATATAAACCCGCCCTGTAACGGCCTAACGGCTAACTTGGAATAACACAACAACTTTTCCCTCTCTCACTTCTCTCTCTATCTCTCTCTCTCTGTTACTTTACTCTTTCTTCTTCTCGCCAAGACTTTTCCGATCCTAGACATCACACAGTGAGGGTTTCTTCTTGGACTTAGATGCAGGGCGGGGATGGTGGAAGGTCCAATCTTTGAGAAAGGTTGTCTGTAGGGTAGCGGCCAACCGATGGGCTTGAGCTTTGTCCAAGAAAATGAAATGGTCGAGACTAAATCCCATATGAAAATTTGAAGAATTGTATCTCGGGTCAATGAAATTGAAAAGCCAATTACTGCAATTTTACTCATTTTAATTTTCATTGCGATACACCAATTTAGTTCACTTGTAATTGCCATTTGTGAGTACAAGTCAATTTTATAATTTTCCTAATGCAGAGCACAAGTCACTAAAACCAACAAAAAACAGAATAAACAAAATCACAAATATTTCTA